TATAACCCAGTTCAAGTTTGGAAATAGAAATGCAAAACAGAATATATCTAATAAAATTGGTCTCCATTCTTTTAATCAACTTTCACCTTTGGCCATTCTGTACGTTCATTCACCTAACAACTATTTACTGATGGAGTCAATGTGGAATGCCCGATGAATGCTGTTGCTTTTATTTTTTAAAGATTTTATTTATTTATTTGTCAGGGAGAGAGAGCACAAGCAGGGGGGGCAGAAGGCAGAGGGAGAAGCAGGCTCTCTGCTGAGCAGGGAGCCCGACGCAGGACTCGATCCCAGGACCCTGGGATCATGATCTGAGCCGAAGGCAGACACTTAACCAACTGAGCCACGAAGGCACCCCAAAGATTTTATTTTTTTAAGTAATCTCTGCATCCAACATGGGGCTCGAACCCAGAACCCCCAAATCAAGAGTCGCATGTTCTACTGACTGAGCCAGCCAGGTGCCCCTGTGTTATTTTAAAATAACACAATTTTGTTTTATTAGATTCTACACTTTTGGGAGCTGGTCAGACCAGCACTACCACTGCAAATACACACAGATGCTATCCTTCTTTCACTGGCTCTAAAAAGTTCTGACACAACATGAAAGTAAAAATATCAGGTTCTCTTTATTTGTAACAGATAAAAACTGAAGTTCGGCCATTTAACATAGAATTAAAAACCAGTACAGTTACATCTGTAACAAAAGGACAGTGGGTGTTCATCCACAGCACTGTTTCTGGTTTGTTTCTGTGGTTGGGCCTGGTCATTTCCCCCAGGGATTTCCTTTTCAGTGGGAAGATCATCTTCAAGACAAAAAATGTCGATCAGACTCCAGTTCCAGTACATATTTTATTCACTTCTATATACACATACCCTTACCCTATCTTGCTCCAATCTTTTTATTGCATTCCTATTGACAGCAGTCATTTATTATAACCCGCCCCAACATTGATTATACCTCCCAAGTATTTACAGTTAAAAAGAATTTCCACATAGCACAAATCAACTCAGCTGTCCATGTGCAGAAGTCACATAATCCTCACTGAACAGAAATACTTTTCTCCAGCTTTGGGGAAATAATTATATGTTAAACACACACAGAGAACATTTCTTAGACAAACATAATGCCTGAGGCTCATCTGGTAAGACAGACTGCTTCATAATTCTTAGCACAAGAAAAAATATCTTTAGAAACTGAGAACCAAAGAATATTTAAAACAAAAACAGAAAATCACACACACTGGTCACCTGATACCTGACCGATAGATTGAAATTCTGTCAAAACATTTTCAGTGAGGCTTTTCATTTCAAACAGGCCAGGAAAAAAAAAAACCCTAAAATGTATATTTTTTATATGTGGCTCTTTGTCCTCTTAAGAGCTGTTTTTTCATTTAAAGTTTATATGTAATATTTTTAAAAGATTTATTACAAGAGGGACTGTCTCAGTCAATTTATTGTGAGAAGTTATCAACAACAGCTTTTAATGCTCAACTATCAAGAAGCTGGAAGGCAGAAACACATTTTGCAAGGAAATGTGTGACACTACATTTCCTTAAGTGGAAACCCTGTATTTCCCTTGTAACCTAATTTTTAAAAATTTAAAATCCTTTAAAACTAAAAAATTTTTAAATCCTTTAAAAACTAATGGAACTGGTTAAATATTGACTATTTTTCTACTTCTCTTCCTCATATTTTCACCAAGTTTCTGCTTAATGTTTGGATAGTATTTGCCCTGACTTGCTGCATGAAAATCTTCCTCAGCCACCATAGAAAGAGAGTTCACTACAAAGCCTTTAGTGCCAAAGAAAGCTCCAGGCCTGCCTCCAACGTGGGAGGCAGGGGGTGACAGCAGGGAGGTGGTAATAAGAAATGACCAACATGAAATGCTCAACGAGGCCAACAGAACGGGATAAGACACCTGCTCAGTTCCATCCATAGTCTCCTCTTTGGGCCATTTAAACATGGAGCCATTTTGTTTTTCAGTGTCACATACAGTTTCTAGAGATCACTGAGAGCTCAGAAACAAGAGAACACCTATAGCAACCGTAGTTTTCTGGATAATGTGTAACTTCTTATATCAATTTTCTACTGGAAATATGGTACTTTTAGATTTGGATTTTCTCTTAGGGTCTTCTCTCCTACACTTTGCTTTCTATGACTGATAATTTCATTTCTGTAAGTGAAATAAGCAGGAAGTTTCACGTATTTTATTTGGCATAATCAAACCATCCTAGAGACTTCATATAATCAATCTTTGAAAAGAAGCTGGAGCTGTGGTCTTAGAGGTACTCTAAAAGAGAAAGTCCTATTTATGAATAAAATATCCTTTGTGCTACTTCTTGCAAACCATCACTCAATGAATTTTGCAATATAATGTTTTCTTCCTCTTTGAAAGTAACTTGCACACCGAATTAACACTTTTTTATCTTCTTGAGGTGGCTTTCTTTTCTCCACCAAAACCCAATTATGGACGCTGTACCAGTTTACTCTTACTTCCTTCCTGTTCACTGAGTTTCAAATGGGTATAGGCGAGAATGCCAAATAACGTGCATAACATGCCAAGACCCTGATTAATTGACAATGGATCCTTAAATAAAACATATCCTCCAAATAAAGTAATGCAGAACTTGAAGTGTCCAAACATGTTATAGCTGAGTTTTTTGGCTAAGGATCAACAAAACCAACAAGTTAGATTGTGATATTCACACACACACACACACACACACACGCACACGCACGCACGCACGCAAAGCCTTCCCGTGGCTGGAAGAACTGCAGGAAGCACAGACTGAATCGCGCGCCCCCCCTCCCCCATATAAGAAACAAGAACTTAGGTCTGGGTCGATCCTAGTTTTCTCAGTAGGCTTCAGCAATAGTGACAGGAGACTGCCTCAACTATCTCGACTCTCTCCAGAGAAGAGCAAAGGGGCTATGCTATAAGGTTGGAGAAGGAACTCAGAACAAGGTACAGAGAAGCTATTTTGCCCAGCAATTTATGATCATGTTTTATAGTGCTATTTCTAATAAACCTCCCTTGGCAATGAGGGAGAAGTGTGTGGCACCAGACAGCAGACTCAAGGTAAATGCATCCAGTATGCCTCAGTTTGGGAGGGAAACGGGGCAAGGGGAGGGAGTGAGACTGAGCATCAGTGATATGCTAGGCGCTATGTTACATGCGTGTGTCACCCCATGTCATTAAGCATGACATTTACCCTCGCTGCAATATCACTCTTCCCATCCTATAACCGTTGGGGCTCAAGGATTTCAAGTAACTTCGATCACAGAGTTTGGAAGCGGCAGAGTTGGGAGTCCAAACGTGGACGGGCCTATTCAACTCCAAGTCCAGGTTCCAGTCTGGTGTGTGGCCAGCAGTAACGTGCTGCTGGACTCGGGGTTTCCAAATCACTGTGCTTAAAAATAACAAACTAAACACACAGCATGCCTTTAACAATTATTTCCACATTTTACATATGTGCTTTTCCATATAAATTAGGACTTCCCTATGTTTTCAGAGTATGCAGCTACTCTTCCAATAATGCTGTTAGAAACAGCTACCACGGGGCGCCTGGGTGGCTCAGTCGTTAAGTGTCTGCCTTCGGCTCAGGTCATGATCCCAGGGTCCTGGGATCGAGTCCCCCATCGGGGCTCCCTGCTCAGTGGAGAGCCTGCTGCTCCCCCTGCTTGTGCTCTCTAGCGCTCACTCTGTTGAATAAATTTTTTTAAAAATCTAAAAAAAAAAAAAGAAAGAAAAGAAAGAGCTACCACTCTGTGCCTCAGCTTCCCTGTCTGTACACTGGAAATCGATACAAGCTACATCACAGGATTAACTAGGCTAATAGATACGAAGTTTTTAGCCCGCCGCAAGCACCACGTGTGTCGGCCATTGTCAAGAGCAGTATTTATGCATAACAAATACCTGCCAGGGGCTTGGGGCAGCCCGACACTGCAGATGCCACCAGCCCTGACTCATGGCAGAGGAGAGCGGTGGCTGCGGGCCAGGCTGGGTGCGCACACCTGGGGCCGGCTGACCGCAAGCCTCCGGCTCTGGCCTCTGGCTCTGGCCTCCGCCAGCTCCTTCAGGGCAGGAGAGCGCCAGCCATGTCACCAGGGGACCTGCGCTCGCCTGACCCACTACACAGGATTTCCCGAGAGACAGAGGCCCTTCCCCAGGATGTTAATTCTACCCATTAGAAGACAGGCTTCATACCCCACGGTGAACTATCTCAAAGCGCACTGGTTCTAACATTTCAGTGTTTCTTTACTCCTCAGCCTCTCTTTTTAAGTAGTTCATGATCTGTGGAAGGTGGTTATACGAGAGGGAAGGCAAATTTAAAGAAAATTCTTCAGTGAGGTAAAAAAAATACATACACATTAAATTCAATGCAAAAGGAACGGTCTATACCTGGTATCTCCAATTCCCCTCTCTGCTCCAGTCAGGCTTTCCCCTCGACACTCAGAAAGCTCTTGTCAGAACACGGGCGCCCTCTACCTTCCCGAGCCCCCTCCTCAATTCCCAGCCTTCCTGGATGTGACCTGTCAGTGGCATTCAACCTGGCTGACCCCCTTCCTCCTCACCCGGTGGGCCTGTACGCCTTCCTTCCCCTTCCTCGGCCGTCCCTCCTCGGCCTCCGCTGCCAGCTCCCCTCAGCTCTGCAGCAGCCAACACCGACGTGACCCAGGACCCAATCTCTGGGCGGCTCTTCTTCTTCTACTTGTTTGCTCGGTGACCTGCACCAGACTCACCGCTTTAAACAGCATCTACACAGGACACCCGACTGTCCCTGGAGGAGCTGTGGCTGAGACCCCGACCCTGAACTCTCAGGCTTGTTCTCCCCCCAACTCCCCAGCCCCAAACTTCCTTCGGGCTGTCCTATGTCAGCTGATGGCAGTGCCGTCCTACCAGGCGCTCAGGCCCAAGCCACGTGAGCCAACCTGTTTCCTCTCCTATTCTCCACATCTGACTTGTCAGCAAAGCCCATTGGTGCTACCTGAAAACATACCCAGGCTCCAATCCTGGTACCAAACCACCATCCTTTCTCCAGGGTCCCTTCTTCTCTTGCCTCTTGTAGTGCAGTGCTTCTCAACCGGGCTGATTTTGTCACCAAAAACGTCTGGACACCTTTCTGGCCGTCGTAACTGGGAAAAAGGGGCGCTACTGGCATCTAGTGGGTAGAAGCCAGGATGCTGTTAAACATCCTACGGTGCACAGGACAGGCCTCTGCAAACGAGAACTGTCCAACCCACAAGGTCAACAGCACTGAGGCTGAAACACTCTGCTTCAGTCTACTCTCAACTCAGTAGCCCAGAGTGATCCCATTAGGACATAGGTAAAACCACGTCATTTCCCCGCCCCAAGTGCCAACGGCTTCCCATCTCACTCAGGTACAAGCTCTGCTCAGCCCGGCGCCCTGTTCCGCTCAGAGCCTTACTATTCTCCACCTGTCATCTCCCTGCTGCGACCATGAGGCCTCCTGGGTGCTCATCAGGGCCTCCCCGCTGCTCCCTCTGCAGGGAACGCTCTTCATCCCAATCTGCATGGGGCGACTTCTTTTCCACCAGGTCTTCACGCAAAAGTAGCCTTCCTGACTGCCCCCTCTAAAGTTTCAACCCAGCCGCCAACATTTCAGGTCCTCTTTCCTGCTTTCCTTTTTCTCCTTGGCACTTCACACTACCTCACACTGTATATGTATACTTCAATTTTTTTCTTGTTTATAGTCTCCCTCACCAGAATTGAAACCTGGGAGAGCAAGCATTTTTGCTCACTACTGTATCTCCAGGGCCCAACATATGGTAGATACTCATCATGTAAGCACCTATTAAGTCAATGCATGGTTTATAGTGGGGGTTCAATGAATATTTGTTGAACGAATGTTCTTAATCAGGGCACATCACTGGATGCCTTGATTCGGCAGCGTGGTGTAAAAGGTCTGGGACTAGAACGTGTGGGTTCAAATCTGGACACCACACTTCTCAGCTATAGGACCGTAAGCGTGTTACTTAACCTCTCTGCACCTCTGCTTCCTGCTCTGCAAAATACAGTGATAGAATTTACCTCACGGAGCTGCTTTGAGAGTCTGATGCCTAATATACCCGAAGTGTTTCTTTCCAACGTGCCTGGTGCAAAATAAACATTTATTAAGTGTTGGGGTTTTTTTAGAAAAATTACTTTTATTATAACTGTTGTTGATATTTATTGATAGTTGGCAAACAGGCTGCTTTTTTACTTTGCTGACATCTCAGTGCTCACTCATTTAAATAAATCAGCACACTTGGATTCAATGTTTCTAAACTACCTCTCTGATTTGGGGAAATCCTTCTTTGCCTTTGCTTAAGAGTAGAGATGGAGTGAAACGAGAAGAGAAACAGAATGACAAGCAAAATGTTAAAAATGATTCAGACCTCTAAGGCCTGATTTCATTTCCTGATTGGAAGTAATACTGAGAAATACAGACGCACCCGTACCCAAATACGCACAGAAACATGTTCAAAAGTCAGATGTCAATGGTCCGAAGTTACCCTTTGTTTTTGGACTGGCTGTACCGGTACTTTATTACTATAGGGACTGCAAAATGACTAAAAACCGTGGCGTCCACTCCGTTATCCACTCAACAAGTACTTATTTAATTCAACTATGTACCAGGCTTGGTGTTCTATGTTGATTTTGATAAGGGAAAAAGGTCACTTACCGCATAAGAAAATAAAAAAGTCTTCGTGAGACAGAAAACTAACCCATTTCCCTGGCTCACCTTTCTGTAAGTTTCCATAGAGTCTAGTGTGGAAAGATACAGGAAAAGACTGAAAACAAGTCTAGCTACTCAATGTAGGCCACGTAATTGTAAGCGCAAGACTCCAGAAGGAAATGAATTGACAGAGTTTGGGAAAATGTAAAAGACTATGCATTTGTGAGTTACTAGGAAAAGGATACGTGACTGGTGACGTGTTCCCAATGATCCAATAAATCGATAAGTTCACCATGAAAGCTATTCCTCCAGAGAGCAGCACCATAAGCTACAAATAAACCCAAAGAATCATGAATGTAAAGCAGCTGCGATCCTTATAGTCATCAAGTAAAAATCCATTTCATTAGGCATTTCTAAAAACTTAAATAACCACCATTAAGAACAAGAGTTTTAAAAGAATCCATTTGAGAGACAGCAAGAATTGAGGGTAAAATAGCAGAATGGATAATATGCAGAAATGTAATTTTGTCTACAATATGCAATGGAAAATTCTCCAATAACATCCTGCCTGAATGTGAATTTCCAGGTTCATTTTTCTTACCCATCTGAAGAAAAATTATTTTGTAATAATTTCTAATTATAAAAGTAATACATGTTCCATATAGAAAAATCAGAAAATAAAAACAAGCAAAAAGAATGTAAGGACTTTCTATAATCCTAACCACCCACCACTGTTAATACCTTTGCACGTATCCTTCCAGATGTTTTTCTATTAGTTGCTCATATTTATTCTTATTTAAATTAAGTCAATGGGCATTCATTGGATATCTATAAAGCTAGGCCATACCTTCTGAGGAACAGAATAGGGTCTTATCCTCAAAGAGCTTAGGAACCACTCCTCAAGTGGTTCCTCAAGTGGTTCATAAAATCATGATGGTTCATAAAAATCATGATAATCATAGCTTGCACTTACACAGTACTTATTACATGACAACAGCTGTCCTAAATGTTCTACATATACTAACTTGTTTAATCCTCGCAAACACCCATGAGGTAGTAAAATATTATCCCTTTTTACAGACGAACAGAGAGAGGAAAAGCAACTTGCCTTAGATCACACAGTAGTAAGTGGTAAGGCTGAGATTTAAGCCCAGGGCAGCCTGGTTCTGGAGGCCATGTGTCTAACCCACTCTGCTAGGCTACCTCTTAGCCACATGAAAGACAGTGAGCTCAGGAAATAGATAAAAGAGTCTTGAGTGCTGCCTCATGAACAGGCAAACACACAACAGGTTTTTTATGAATCTCTACGCAGGAGACATCATTTGGGGCTTGGGGAGGGAGGGAGTGTTTGGAACTTGAATGTACGTACAGATTAGAGAAAGAACAAGGGATAGGATTCCAAGCAGATGGAACAGTAGGGGCCAAAGCATGGCGGCAAGAAAGCACAGGACATGTGAGTGGGATGTGAAGAAACCGGCCTGGCTGAGGACGGGGGACAAAAAAACCCCTAGGTGCACATAGCACATCTGCCCAAATCTTTCCCACTGCTGTAGTTAAAAAGTTATAAAGTCATTTTCTACTTCTAAAATAAGAGACCTTAGTTAAAATATCAGTTATGATTTGAATTATTAAGAGATTTAAATTTTTTTCATAAATAGGCCTTTAATTAGTAAGGAGACACTTTTGACCTATAGGAGATGCCACATTGACCTTTACATACTTTTTTTTTTTTTTAAGATTTTTATTTATTTGACAGAGAGACTGAGCACAAGTAGGGGGAGCGGCAGAGGGAGAAGCAGGCCTCCCACGCAGAGCCCGATGCAGGATTCGATCCCAGGAGCCTGGGATACTTAAGAAATATAAATTCAAAAGAAAATATGTCCTGGGGCGCCTGGGTGGCTCAGTCGGTTAAGCGTCTGCCTTCGGCTCAGGTCATGATCCCAGGGTCCTGGGACGGAGCCCCGCATCGGGCTCCCTGCTCAGAGGGGAGCCTGCTTCTCCCTCTCCCCCTGCTCGTGCTCTCTCTCTCTCAAGTAAATAAATAAAATCTTAAAAAAAAAAAAAAAAGAGTAAAGAATTTTAAAGAAATAAAAATTTAAAAAATAAAGAAAATATGTCCTATTTGAAGATACATTCTGTCCCCTGAGGCTTTTATCAACTTTTAGATCACCGAGGTCACAGGAAGACTGAAGGAGCTGGGCTTGTGTCCTATTTAGGTAAAAACAGTAATACCTCACTCGTCTTACAACAGTGAGGTCCGTTATACTTTCAACTAAGAGAACCTTGTTCATTAAAGACTTAAAAAACTGTTTCTAGAAATATACCATTGTTAATTTTATTGAGTTGACAGAATGTTACACACGTACTTCTTGATGACTTGGCTGGTCACTGAAAACACAATTACATGCTCTACTTTGAGGCAACAATGCCCTCTAGGGACATTAAGGAACGAAGGCGCCTTGTTCTTATTCAGTGGACTCACACTGCTATGTTCTTAGTTCCTCTGACTTTTGGGGGCTGCTTTTCTCTTCTTCGAATCTGTCAGGGGGCCTATCGCACAAAGCACCCTCCTGCGAGTTTAAACCTCCTGGTTTAAGGTATCTGTGCTGCAAGAGTTTGAAGACCAGCTAACCAAGATGACTACAACTTTTGTAAAATCAAGAGAAAATATTATCTGAGAGATGGACAAGTGATTTCTACTGTGGAAAAAAGGTTATATGCAAAGTATCTGAATTTGAAACCACTAGCATTCTGTTCACAGGCAGTAGAGCAGAGTACTTAAGAATATGGGTTTGGAGGGGCGCCTGGGTGGCTCAGTTGTGAAGCGTCCGCCTTCAGCTCAGGTCATGATCCCAGGGTCCTGGGATCAAGCCCCGCATCGGGCTCCCTGCTCAGCGGGGAGCCTGCTTCTCCCTCTCCCACTCCCCCTGCTTGTGTTCCTGCTCTTGCTATCTGTCAAATAAATAAATTTAAAAAATCTTTAAAAAAAAAAGAGTTTTGGAGCCAGCATGCTTGGACTCAGGCTCTGGGTCTGCTTACCGGCTGTGGGATCTTGAGTCAGCTACTTAACTCTGTCCCTCAGTTTCCTCATCCTATATCATAAATATAAGGGTAACAATAGTATCCACCTAATAAAGTTGTTATGAGGATTAAATAAGTTAACATTCGCAAAGTGTTAGAGTAGTTCTTGGAATAGAGTAAGGGCTATGTAGGTTTGATAAATTAACACCACCAACAAACAAGCCTTTTCTACGGACTGTGTTCCAAAGGTTAAAGTTGCAGGAAGCAGAAATTCCTTCCCTAAGGAGGGGATTATACTTTCTAACTTAAAATGTCCCCAAAGTACACTTCCCTTTGATCTGGCAATTCTACTCTTAGGACTCTATTCCAAAAGAAAAAAAGTACCAGTTCCTAAAGACATATGTATAAGGATGCTTACTGCAACACTGTTCACAGGGGTCAAGAACTGGATCTATTATATGGACACTGAACAGAATGCTCTGAAGAGATGTTCATGAGATATGAAGCGAGAAAAGCAAGATGCAGAAAATTATTTGTTATTCCACTTTTGTAAAAGAAACAAATGTTTAATTTATGTATATACGTGTGTGTGTGTGTGTGTGTGTATTGTTTATGTGGGTATGGATAGCCCAGAGAAAAATATGGAAGAACATGCACTAGAATGTTAACATCACTTACCTCCAAGGGCAGAGATGGGGAAATGAAATGTTGAATGTGTGTGGGGAGCAGGGCTGGGGAAAAGGAATCCATGATAAAAACAGCATATATGACATGATTCCATGTCTATAAAATTACAGACACACAGACACACACACGCTTCATCTCAGTCTCTTCATCTGAAAAATAATCCTTCGCTTGCCTCCCTTCAAGGGTGATTATGAAGATTAAGTGTGAGGGTGTGAGATTGTGTGTGGAAAACTAAAAACTGCACTAATCGCAGAGGGATGATTCTCTTGTTTCTTAGCAAAACAATCAGAACTTACCAATGCGGACACTGACCAGGGGCCAAATATTCCTCCTTCTCCAAACACTGGCTCAAAGATGGGCACGGCGACCAGCAACATGGCGGAGGACATTGGGGCCTGGTAGTACAACAGCTGCATCGAGTTCACTTGCAATTCATGCTGTTTGGCTCCTACCCACTGAAAATCAGGAGACAAAACACGTAAGGTAGGGAAAAAATACCATCACCTAGTAAACAAAAGATGCGACTCTAGTCACAGGGATGGGAACTTAGGGCAGGGCTGGGGGAAGAGGAAATGCCTAATTATTCTACAAGACTCCAAAGATCAATTAGAAAAAAAAGATCATTAATGTATACAAATGTCCTTTAAGCACCTTGGATGAAAGGAGCTTTACAAATTCAGTGTATGACAATCTATTTTCTTCTCAGTTATAAAGAAGGAGAAAAAATATCCTCTCTTCCCTGCCGACCCTAGTAAATGAGCAAGTCAATGAATTCACACAGGGGCCCATGAGTATCAGAGATCTTGGGGAAAGGAGACAAGAATGGAAATTTAGGTGATAAGCAGGAACAGAGATGCAGTGCTAGACTTCATTTCTTTCTAAAACTGCCCCCCCCAAAAAGAAGTAGGGGGTGAGCGGGGCAGACTAATTAGGGATTGACAGGAACCTCAGCTACCCTGGCTGCCAATGTGGGTGGCTAGAAAAGTATGTGAGGCCTTTTCATTCGCGTTAGAAAACCCCAATCAATGGCAGAAGGAATTTTCTTCTTTGTGGATGATTTTTCTGTGGGTAATCCAATACACTTGAAGAAATTAAATAATCGCAAATCCTTTTAAAAGACTGTATCATTCAGGGGTGCCAGGGTGGCTCAGTCAGTGAAGCATCTACCTTTGGCTCAGGACGTGATCTCAGGGTCCTGGGATCAAGTCCCACATCAGGCTCCCTGCTCTGCAGTAAGCCTGCTTCTCTCTCTGCCTGCCTTCCACTCCCCCTGCTTGTGCTCTCTGTCAAATAAATAAATAAGATCTTAAAAAAAAAAAAAAAGACTACATCATTCAGAGGGTGCCTGGGTGGCTCAGTCAGTTAAGCATCCAACCCTTGATTTCGGCTCAGGTCATGATCTCAGGGGCGTGGGATCGAGCCTGAGTTGGGCTCCACACTCAGTGCAGAGCTGGCTTATGTCTCTCTCTCTGCTCCTCCCCCTCACTCATGCTCTCTCTTTTTCTAAAATAAATAAAATCTTTTAAAAAGATTCAAAAAAATAAAAGACTATGTCATCCAGGAGAACCAACACCTCAAAACCTCAAATCCCATCAGTCCTCAAAATGTTTCGCAAATATGACTAAAAAGAAGGCTTTAAAGAAAGCCTGACAGGGCTGCTTGAATAAGATCTGGCAAGAACAGCCAGGCTTTTGAATAACTGCTCCTACATAATTCTTTTTCCTGTAGATCTGGGTATCCTGTTCTATAAACTTGAAGGCTACGCTACAGAAATTCACCAGGACAAAAGCAGAAAAGCAGGAAATTTGAAACATACTCCCGCCAGCCTTCACTGAGAGGCTTCTGTGAGTATGAAGGACAAAGAATCGATTCTCCCATGGCCTGCTCCTGGGGGGGGGGGGGGCAGGGAGCAAAAACGGATGCAGAGTGTGGAGGCCAGGCCCTCGGTTTCTTTAGCAGCCTGCCCAAGCGGCTGCGTGCCTGCCGCACAGCCTCCTGGAACGGTGGCTCTTCTCAGGGCCTCCACTTCCCCTCTGTGCTTCTGCCCGCCATCACTCTAAATGCAACTGCTCTCCCAAAGGGCACCGTCACCTCCACAGGTCACCCCTCTGTGCTCTGCCTGACGGGGCTCTCTGCAGGCCCAGCAAATTTCTCCTGGAGGAACTTGACTTCTGGTCTGCACTGTTTCCTCACTCACGTCTTCCTTCATTTACTATTTTTAAGGTAGATGTCTGGCCTTTTTCTTTTATCTACCTGACTGATCTCACTTACACCTGAAGACATCTCCAGCTCTGACCTCCGTTCTCAGGGCATCCTTAATCCCCAAATGTCAACAGCTTACCGGCCGCCTTCACTTACACAATCTGCAGGGACTGTTCTAAAACCAACTCAGTACTTACTTACTGTTGCTCCCATAATTAAAGACCTAATCTCCCCCAAGGATGGGAGGCCTTACTTTTCTCATTCTACATTCGGTCCAGTCCCGCTAATTCCTTCTCCAAAAGGTTTCTGGCCTCTATCACTGTTTTGTTCAGTGCCTTCCTTGTCTTCCCCTTGAACCGTGGAGAGCCTTCACCCACCATGTGCCACCAGAGTTAATTTGCTGAAACACAGAGACCGATCAAGCCACTCCCCTATCTAAACCCCTTTCCTGGAGCCTGCAGGATAAAGGGCACACTTCCTTAGCATGTGCCATCTGGTCTCACCCACTCGTAAGCCTCAGCCTCCCACGATGCAACTACAGTCTCACCAAATACAACAAGTTCTCCAAAAATGCTCCGTACTGTCACACATCTTTGCAAAGAAAGACCTCTGCTGGATTTCTCTGCTAAGCAAACTCCTGTGGGCCCCTCCATTTAAATTGTCAACTTTTCCATAAAGTCTTACCTCATTACCCCCTTGAAGAACTGCCACTTCCTCCCCGGTGTTCCTCAGAACTTTCCTCATACCCTCGGCTACACTGCTTGTGACTGACTGTCTACAGCTAATGTACAACAGCTAGTGTCTCTACAGCGCTGGATTTTAGCTGCTTTTCATCTTTGGATCTTCAAGGCCGAGCATCAAGCTGAAGGAATGTCTGCTGAACGAATGAATAAGGGAGTCAACCGTCTTTCCACAACTAAAGCTAATACCTGATCACTCATCTTTTAACTCCTTTTAATGCCCTAGCAGTATAAGAAGAAATAACTTAGAAATTATAGCTGGATACAATGGGAAAATACAACTTTTTTAAAAAAATGAACTTTTGGGGAATATACCTAATTCCTTAACAGGACTTTTACTATTTTTTAATAATAGAAAGCTCTGCCTATTAGTTTGTCCACAACCATTCCTTAGGCAATCCCATTTCAAATATGTACCTGAGGGATACACAATCCTTTGATTCTAATCTACAGCAATTTTGAGACTTGTGGAAACAAAAAATGGTCATATTGGCAAGGACAGTGAATATGTGGAGTTGAAATTATGCATAAGGAATACAAGAAATTCTGATGCTTAATAAACAGTTAATCCCTCCTGGGCCAAAAAAAAAAAAAAAGAAAAAAGGTCTTTAACAAAAAAAGACAAACAGGAATGTTCACTTACTGTATCTAGTAACAAAATTTAAACTCACTGAAGTACATCTAAGTACAATCTTCTTAAAGCACAAGGCTGAGCTTGCTCTCATTCCTCTCTGTAGTGAAAGACAGAATATCTTAGAGCCAAATGACAGCACTGAGTGGGTGCTCCGTCCTTTCACGACACTGGTCTCTTATTTACACTGCTTCTTCCCACAGCCCCACAATGTTTATATAACAATGTTTCTGAAATGATCAGTACTAGAAAGTTTCAGATGTAAGGCTGTATTCTTAAAGTTATAGCATGCAGAACAAGAATGCCTTAGTTTATAACCAGCAGATATTTGTGAAAAAAGAAAATTGGTTACACATTGCGGCTCTGACTCCCCATGCAGGCACACCCAGAATTTCCAGTCCAAGGTTTTCAGTATAGAGAAAATACTGTTTCACTGCACCCTACACCAAGTTATTTTTCCCCACTACGTAAGAAACAAAAACCACACTTGTTGAGATTTTATGGTAATGAAGTAAGTGGATCCATGCACAAATTTTTAATGAGTACCTGCTGTAGGCAAGGCACCGTGCTACGACAGTACCAGAAGTGAAATACCCATTGCTAGAAAATACGGATGCACACAAATCACTGGAAGCTGACATACAAGTTGTAACAGCAGCATATTTTTTGAGGCAAAGATTTATAAATCTGAAGTTTTCCTTCCCTGTTCCAATTTTGGAAAGGTACTCATTCCTTCACAGTAATCTTGGAATTAAAGAGTAATCATAAATTTAACCAAAGCTCTCAGTTTCAAGTACAAAGTCTTACTACTCATTTTGTTAAGATTTCTCAGGTAATGCTATAGTATCCCCCCAAAATCAAATTGTTAAGCATGGGGATTATACACTTACAACAGGTAGGGAGGTATTTGGAGCATCATACACCCAAGTTTCTCTGTCTCCTTTCTTCTCTTCACCTTGAATCAGACAATTTATGCAATTATGCTTTCTTCCCAACAGCCTATTGTCTCTATACTGTATTTTCTAAACCTTGGGATACAGTTTCAAAATTTATGAAATCTGCTAAAAAGGCATATAAAGAAAAAAAAATTACCAACCACTTGATAAAGGGATGTAACTAAAACACCAAGAGCGGCAAACACCATTCCAAGGAAATTAAACTTCACATCGTAATAAGAATTTAGGATTACACCTAAAGTTATAGGAATCTGTAAAGAAAAAGAGGCAAATGTTGTTTAGATTAAATTCATGAGACATAAACTTAGTATTCCTTTCATGTTGTCTTACAAGGTTAATCATAAAAACATCACTGGGAAACAGTGAACCTCTATAAATGGTTTTTTTTTTTCCATTTGAGAAAACAAACCGATTTCCTCAAAGTGAAATATGTTAATTCTATATTTATGTTCATATTTGATTCTACTTAAAATTCTGGGTAAAATAATGAATCAATGCATTTAAATTTGCAACAAATACATACGACCTGCAAGCACAGAGGAGTAAATGGGCCCCCCCAATTAGTGTCTAAACAACATGTAAGCATGAACGTATAACAAAAGCATTAAGAATTTAAATACTGTAAATCATTAAGTGCTAAAATTATCATCTCCTTTTATTTAAAGACACAAAAACCTCTGCAGTATGTCGCTGCAGACATATTCGGAGACATATTTTATGCTGAACCTTTAACGTTTACATGATTTGATTCCCCTGCGTCAAAGGAGGGCCGCTTTTCAGTTTGAGATTTTGCAGATATTCTGATACACTGAATTGCGTAACACAATACAGCTTTCTTTTCTTACCAATCACAGCATTTAAGGATTTCCATCAAACAGTAGTTACGAAAACTCACACAAGCACACTCTTCCTGGGCTAGGAGCCCGACAGAGTGCCAAGATGACTTTTTTCATCTCTCCCAAATAAGCCTGAGGTTCACATGGTCACAGATGACTCATTTGTGGATTTCAAGATGATGGGGAAAGAGCGTGGCGCAAGGTTAAACATTCAAATTTCCCGGGGAGAAAGACGGTCCAGGAGGTGGATTGTTAAAGGTGTGCCTCGCGAAGCTGAAGCTACTCACCAGCGTGAGCTGTATTTTGGTAGAGAAGGTTTTCTTGTAGCAGAGGGTCTGGATGACTATGATGACCGGCGTGGTCATAGCCTTGGCCAGCTGATAGGTGCCTATGGTGTTGTTCTGCAGAGAGAGATTGGTGAAGACTACGAAGCCGCAGAAGCTGAGGGCCAGGAGGAGGAGTTTGGAAGGCGGTAGACTTTTGGGGGCAAAGATGTCCAGCTTCTGGCAGATGTACAAGCCCAGCCAGGTGACCACGAAGTGCACCAGGGTCAGGCTCATGTTAGGGAAGCCGTGGTGCACATAGATCCATTTGTTGAGGAACACGATGCAGATGGACACCAGTAGGTTGAGCAGAAGCCCAGCGGCGATGCGCCCGTTGCCTCGCATTCGGTCCGCAAGCGATGCCATAACCCCCGCCAAGCCGGGGCCCTCCAGCCCCCGAGAGGGATGCCCAGCCTGTCTCCCGCCGCTCTTCCCCTCCGCCGCTGCCTCCACGTCCTCTCCGGCTTCACCGTCTGGCCCGGGAGAGGCATGCACTCTCCGCGTCCCGGGCGAGCGGCAGCCTCAGCGGCACACACATGCTCCGCCGCCGCCCATTCAGCTGGTGCCGACGCGGCAGCACGTCCCGCGAGCCCCGCCCCCCTCCGCCCGCGACCACGTGGCTCGGGGCGCCAGTGCTTCCGCCCCCGAGCTGTGGGTGGAGCAGTGTCTACCCTGCGCAGGCGCGTTGGGTTCTGCGTGAGTTAAAACTGCATCCTCGGTCCCCCACCTCCTTGGTCGCCTAACCCAGGCTCTGGTGGGGTCCATCTGGGACTCCTCTTTTGATGTTGGACATTTCCTTTGTGTCAGATGACTCACATGCCAGACGGCTGCTCTCAGGCTGCTGGAGTGCAGACGCTATTGGCCAGTTTTATGTATGGGACAGATGCTGAGCAAATGTAGTCATCACTAGAGAGGGGAAAGCATTACTTCTTGAAAGCGTATTTTTAAACACTTTATTTTAAAAATCAAAATAAGCAAAATAGTATGATGAACTCTCATACTCATCATTGTTAGTACACTATTTAGATTTTCTTCTTTTTGAATCCATGTTGGGCCTTTTATTTTATTTTATTTTTTTTAAAGATTTTATTTATTTATTTGACAGAGAGAGAGACAGCGAGAGCAGGAACACAAGCAGGGGGAGTGGGAGAGGGAGAAGCAGGCTTCCTGCGGAGCAAGGAGCCCGATGTGGGACTCGATCCCAGGACCCTGAGATCATGACCTGAGCCGAAGGCAGATGCTTAACGACTGAGCCACCCAGGCGCCCCATGTTGGGCCTTTTAATTGTTCTAGAAAAGTGTCCGTTTAACTTAAATGTCCTAATACTTGGTTAGAGTTGTGTATAGTGATCTACCATATTTTATTATTGTAAAAACCATGCATTTGGGTTTTCTTTGTCCCTTGATTATTCTTGCCGGTAATTTGACTATTTTAAGCTTTTTTTTTCTTTTTTTTGATTTTATTTGTCAGAGAGAGAGAGCACAAGCAGGGGGAGCTGGAGGCAGGGGGAGAAGCAGGATCCCTGCTGAGCAGGGAGCCCGATGGGGGACTGGATCCCAGGACCCTGGGATCATGACTTGAGCCTGAGCTGAAAAAATATGCTTAACCGACTGAGCCACCCAGCATCCCAGTAGTTTGACTATTTTATTGGCCTTTTCAAAGATTACTTCTAGTGATTTTGATTCGTTATTACTTTTTTTCCCCCTTTTCAAAGATTACTTCTAGTGATTTTGATTCAAGTTATTACTTTTTTTCTTTTTCCCCCTAATTTCTTGAATAGAATGTTCAGTTGATTTATTTAAAAATAAAAGGACTGGGGTGCCTGGGTGGCTCAGTCGTTAAGCGTCTGCCTTCGGCTCAGGTCATGATCCCAGGGTCCTGGGATCGAGCCCCGCATCAGGCTCCCTGCTCAATGGGAAGCCTGCTTCTTCCTCTCGCGCTCCCCCTGCTTGTGTTCCTGCCCTTGTGCTCTCGCTCTCTGTCAAATAAATAAATCTTTAAATAAAAATAAAAGGACTTAGGGGCACCTGGGTGGCTCAGTGGGTTGAGCACAACTCTTGGTTTCCACTCAGGTCATGACCTCAGGGTGGTGGGATGGAGCCCCCTAGTCTGGAGCCCTGTGCTCAGCGGCCCAGAGTCTGCTAGAGATTGTCTCCTTTTCCCTTCCCATCCCTCTCTGCTCTTCCCCCTGCTCACTTGGACATGGGCACACGTGGTTGCTCTCTAAAATAAATAAAATCTTTGAGAAAATAAAATAATAAAGAAATCAAAGGACTTAGGCTATGAGTTTCCCCCCTGAGAATAGCTTTACCCACAGTCCTCAGGACATTTTAATATTCTGTCCTTAATTCCTAAGTAGTTTGATTGACAGTTTTAATTTCCTCTTTGATGTAAAAATTATTCAAATATTGAGCACCTGTTTTGTGCCAGGCACTAAATTTGGCACTTGGAAGATTGTGGAGAGTAAAGCCAGACCAGAGCCTCTCCCTTCTAACTTAGAGAAGACTGGTAGTAAACAATGATCAACTATGATAAATGAATATTTTGAAGTAATAAAATATGGTCCTGTGAAGGTGTAAGACAATCAGATCTAAACTTGGGGAGGGGGAGGTGGTCAAGAGGTTCCGCAAGGAAATGAATCTTTAAGATAGGAGTCTAGTTTTCCTAACATGGTCTTCCTGAAAAGCTTTTAAACTTCCTATCATGCCACCAAATTCTATGGATTCATACCACACCATGTGCCCTTTCCACTGTTTATATTGCCGTCCTCCCTTCTAGTTTGGGGTCTACAGAACCCTCTAATCAACAATTTACAATGTTTACCTAAACCTGCCCCCCAATTAAGAGCCGTGGCACCCTGTCTTCATTTAGTCTACTCAATTCATTGTCTCCTTGTGGTTATAGATTTGGACTGATAATTTTAGCATGGATAATAAATAATCTTTTTATCATTCATCTATTTATCTTGCAATATTTGAAGATAGTTATGATATGAAATCTGAAATTTGGGTTAAAATATAACAGTATCTAGTGGATTTCAAATGCCTGTTGGGTTAGAGTTACTGAGTCTAACTCCATATTTGCCATTTAATCCAGGTTTCTACTGTTCTGGAAACTGCCCTTCTCCAGACTGATTTAATTGGTTAAGCGGCTTTCTCTACCTCCTTAACAAAGCACAGTAGTCCTCATCTTTACTTGTCCTGAAGTGTGATTTTTATCTTTATTCTCATTTACCGATGTTGAAAATAGAGGTTCATGGCTGTTACCTTGCAGCTAGAGGGATGAGAGTAAGATTCCAACCCAAATTTCTCTGGCTCCTGGCCCACTTGCCCTCCTTTTTATTATGGAAAATTTCAAACTTGTGCTAAGTTAAAATACCTGTCACCTGGTTTCAACAGCTGCCATTGGCATGTGTACCTACTCCTCACCTCTCCATTTGATCTTTTAGAAGCAAATTTACATTCACTCAAATGCAATAAACTATGTTTTTTGATAAATGGATGCACCTATGTAACCCATACCCGTTGAGATACAGTTCCATCACCTCACAAAATTCCCTAGAAAATCCCCACCCCCCCCATGCGCAAGAGGAAACCACTTTCATTTTTCCTTCACCATGGTTTTGACTGTTCTAGAACTTCATATAAGTGGATCGTATGGTATGTACTTCTGGTTTCTAGGTTCTGTTGTTGAGTGGAGCAGTTCTTTCCTTTTTATATTGCTGAGTAGTGTGCTTGTTTGGTCATCCTCCCGATGGTAATTTGGGTCATTTCCAGTTTGGGGCTATTATAAATAATGCTGCTATGAATACATTTGCACAAGTGTTTTTGTGGAATTTATTTTCATTTCTCTTGAGTAAATATATGAGTGAAATTTCTATGTTAAAGGGTACGTGTTTATAAGAAATTCAAAACTTTTCCCAGAGTGTACCATTTTATATTCCCCCACCGTTATCAGTCACAGTTGCTCCACAATTTGGTGTTGTCTTTTTGATTTTAGCCATTTATATAGATATGTGGTGATATCTCATTGTGGTTTTCATTTGCATTCCCTATTGATTTGAGTACTTTTTCATGGGCTTTCTGGTTATGCATATTCCCTTCCTTTAATGAATCATCTATTCTTCTGCCCTTTTTGCTTTATTATTGAATTGTCAGAGTTCTTTGTATATTCTGAGGGGGTTTTTTTGGTCATATATATTAAAGATTTTATTTATTTATCTTACAGAGAAAGAGAGAGCGCTTGTGCGCTTTTAAGGTATCAGAGGATTTATGCTCACAGGAGAAAAGTATGATAATAGGAAACTTAATTTCTTATTACATAAGAGACAATCCTGGAACTTGTAAGAACAGAAAATTTTAATTTTTATATAATTTTATTAAGAAACACAGGTAAATACTGATATAATACATTAAATTTTCAAAGTATCACCATAATATTCTGAAAAATACAAAATGCAAATGTCTAAATTTTCATTTTCCCCATGACAATGCAAAAGAAAAAACCCAGTAATTACAAATACATATATTTTACAAGACACTCCATTTATCATAGAAATTAGTGAGATCGCAGAGTGGATGGATTATGACTGAATTTCATATCCTAATGGATCAAGTCCCTGGTCTAGGAGCATTAGAGAGGACTCTCTTAACTTCTGCAACAATTTCCTTAGTTCTTCCTTAGAAAATACCTGATTTTAAGAAAAGAAAAGTTAAGAATGAGAATAAGGGAGAATATATGAATTTATAGTCACTTAATCAACCCGATTAGCTTAACGTAAGAAGAAATTCCTCTTTAAGATTTATGTAGCCAGAGGCCAGTATGTTAGTGTGGTCCAAGAACTTCAAAGCTATTTCTTTGAGCCAGTCTATTTACTTCTAAGTGTTTACGATTATGTATGTATTTTCAAAAAAAGAACAAACACTAGAAGTGGACCATTACTTTAAGAAAATCTAAGAACATCTATATAATATAAACACATCTCACAAAAATCAAATATTATTACAGAGCTTATCAAATCACTAAAATTTAAAACTGTAAATGCTCTAGAACTTACCAGATACAGTTTGTGGCGCTCAGAGGAGACCATATCTGCTAACTGCAAGCATTCCTGATACTGACCGGTACTATGCAATATGGTATGAAGCAGGAAACACAACATTGGCAGACAAAGCTTTCTCAATGAAACCATTTGGTGTGTCCTTTCATGGTCTTCTTCAGCAGCCTATAATCAGACATCAAGTTGTCATTTTAACAAGTTTAAGCTAAATACTGTTATAAAAAAATCAAGTACTGAATCAAAACCAAAATGCAACAGGTAGAAGCTAATGGGGTTTCTCTAAAGCTTATGATGCCCATTAAAAATAAAACAAGGCAGAATTTTAATCATGAGAGCTAGAGACACAATTTTTGGTAAAACAGCATGAAGGCAAACAAAACATACTACAGAGTAGTCCCAGGTCTGATAATGAAAACAAAATGCTTCTAAATTTGTATTTTTCTTTTTTTTTTTGAATTTGTATTTCTAACACTTATTATGTCTTAAATAA